CAAATATACTATATGTTTAATCATTTTCTATACACCTGCGTTTAACTATTTATATATTTATAATTTTAAATTTAAAAGTTAAAATCATAAGTAATATTTAAATATTTACAAAATTGGCTTATTAAAAAAATAAAAAATTCAGGTCCACCCCAACTTAAAATGTAACAATAGCGTTTTCCATTCCCCATAAAAGTTGCGGTTAACAACACGATGAATACAACCTCAATCAAAATAATACTACAAAAGTTTTAGATGAAATATTAATGAGTTAATCACTTATATATTATTAATATAAAAAAAAATTTACATTAATAATTAATTATATCTCTTAATTGTGTTATGTCATAGTAAATATATTTAACTTTAATAATAACATGATATAATTAAAAAATATAATTAATTGTCGGCGTAAAAAATTTTTATTACAGAACATATCCAACGCAATAAAGAAAATTCACTGTTAAAGCTATTTTGATTTTTGAATGTCCATAAAGTCAAGTTTCTTTTAAATTCAATTTCAAAGTCGCTGCAAATTTATCATAGACGCCAAAACAACATGAATCACGCCACGTTTTCTTCACCCAACACGAGAGAAAAAGTCAAATTTATCAGAAACTTTATCAATACACAAACTCATTGTTCCCTAATGAACACAAATCACGACACATTTCTCGCATTATATTTAACGGTTTTTATATTAAACACAAACAAATACATATGCGAAAAGATTTTTAAAGACATTTTTTCGATAAATTTTTTTTTAATTTTGTTAAACTTTTTATTTTATTTTATTTTTATTTATTATAATTATTTATAAATTAAATTTATATTTTTAAAATAAATTATCAATGAATAAAAATAATTTTATAATACAATATAAATCATTTCTGTAAAAAAAATACAATATAAATTATTTAAAATAGAGTTTATATGTTTAAAAATATTTATTTTGTAAAATTTTTAAGCATAATTTACATTTTTAAACATTATATATATATATATATAATTTATTATAAATCTTAATTATATATAATAAAAATTTAACTTGTACAGTATGCGCTAAAATATCAATTATTTTTTATATCCACCTCTATAAGAATAGACAAAGTCATCATTACCAATTGAACATTTTCAAACATTATTCTTATATATTTTGGTACTGTGTTACTACTTTCATAATTAGTAAAAAAAAATACCTCCTTCAAACAATCAAATATCTTCTTTTAACTTTAATTTATATGCTTAATCGTCTTAACTATTTAATATAATATTTATTATTAAATTTTAATTATAATATAATTTATATATTTAAAAATAATCAATTATTATTATCTTCATCCCTATATATAAAGAACATTTTTATTTTTTTGTCTCTCATTATAAAATCATCTTATACATTAATTATTTGGTTTAATTACGTTTTTTCCCTCAAATATTGTAATTATACAATTTTGATCTTTAAAGTTTTAATTGGACAATTTTAGCTCTTAAAAGATTGCAGTTGTACGGTTTTGATCCTTCAATTTTTAATTAAATAATTTTAGTCCTTCAAATATTATAATTGTATGAATTTAGTCTCTCTTATTAAAAATTTAATAATTTTAATATATATATATATATACAATGTTTTATATATTAAATGATATATATTTATTATTAATAAATAAATAAAATTTATATATTATTATTTTTATAATATTATTGATAAATTAGTATCAATAATATTATTAGTATATTTATAAATAAATTAATAATTTGATAAATATAACTTATTATATATTAATATACTTTTACAAAAATATAAATATATTAGATAAGATATGTATATTTCTAATTAACATACTTATATTTTTGTAAAAGTATATCAATGTATAATAAGTTATATTTATCAAATTATTAGTTTATGTATAAATATACTAATAATATTATTGATATTAATTTATGAATAATATTATAAAAATATCATATATATATATATATATATATATATATATATTTATTTATTTAAAATTACTAAATTTTCAACGAGAATGACTAAAATCATACAATTATAATAGTTGAGGGACTAAAACTATTGAATTAAAAATTAAGGGACTAAAATGAAATAATTAAAATCTTTTAAGGCCTAAAATTACTCAATTAAAACCTTGAAGATCAAAATTGCACAATTGCAATACTTGAGGGATCAAAAATACAATTAAACCTAATTATTTCTTCTCTAAAATATCACCTCTCTTCCTATTTATAATATCTAACTTATAACAATTGTTTGTTGCTTTGTATAAGAACCAATTCATTGTGTTTGATGTATTAATTATTTGTAAACTAAAATACTTCTTATTAAAATAAGTTCTCTTAATTTGATGAAATACATTAATTGTAAACTATTTAAAAGATATTACCAAAAAAAAGACATTTAGTGACCAGCACAATCAGTCGCTAAATTTCTCAAATCGATCACTAAATTGCTCAAATCGGTCGCTATTTACCTTAGCGACCGAATTTAAGTAGTTGCAAAAATCCTGACTACAAAACCATCGAAATATCCCAGGTCGCTGTTTAGTGACTAGCATTTTCGGTCGCAAAATGATCGCTCATATATATAGGGACCAAATTGGGGACCGAATGAGACGTCGCTAAATCAATCGCTAAGTATGTTTTTATTTTTTAAATAAAATAAATACGATTTTCAGTTTAGTCTCTAAATCAATCGCTAAATATTTATTTTTTATTATATTAAATTTTATACGCGTCACAAATTCGTTCACTATTCATGTCACTAAATTATTAGTTACCCATTTTTTAGTCACTATGAGTTATAATCCGTCGCAAATTCAATCGCTATAAGTTTTATACCGTCGCAAATTCGATGACTAAATTTGTTTTATTTTTTAGAGAGAGAAAAATCGGTCGCTAAATTTATACCTGAAGCACTGGTTAATTGATTTTATTTTAATTTCCATTTTGAACCTGTTTAACAGTCATAAACAATAACACTAAAATTGATAGTGCATATATAATACTAATATCACAATAAAAGTAATTAGCATATATAATTTATGATATAATCTTCAAAATCACAACTAATAAAAATAATTCAAAATAAAAATGACATATAACTAATAACTAATAGTAAAAATCAAATAAAGTCTTCTAAATCACAATATAAAGCATCCAAAATAAAAGTATATGACATATTACTAGTAGTAAAAACCAAAACAAGTATTCAAAAACATAACTAACTAAAAACATATCCATCTGGCAACTCAAGTTCTTTAACCCAGTTACAAATAACAATTATTTGGGATTTTGTCAATGCATATGTTATTCTTTGGGATTTTGTCAATACATATGTTGCCTTTGATTTCATAAGTTTGTCACAACCAACACTTTCAACTCTAACTCCTTCCGATTGCAAAATTTTGGCAAATCTAATCGAGCATTAAATGTATCATTAGTTCTATCATTGATGTCCATCACAGTGTCAAACACATTCATAAAAAAATTCTCTCTGTGTGTATCTAATGCCAATTTTGATTTTCATCATGTTATAGTCATAAATAAACTATGATGAAAGTATTATTATTAACAATAATATTCCAACATGCACAAATATCTTCATCATGTTATAGTCATAAATAAGACACTTGGCTTAGTTGCCTGCAAACCTCAATGCTACAATAAGAATAAAGATATTAATTATGATAAAGAAGTAATATAAAACATACACTATAATTGGTTAAGAGAAATGTGAGTATTAATATATATTATTAATAAAAGGAAATTGTCTCATTTGGTGTCCCCATATTTGACAATTTTACCCTTATAATTACCTTTTTATAAATTACAAAATTCTTATTTCTTTTTATTTTTGTAAATTTCACTATATTACCACCAATATTTTTAATAATCACTCACTATTATATGGTTTTTATTATTTTTTATTTTTTAAAAATAATTTGCATTTTATACACTATTTAAGAGAGAAAGGCAGTGCAATTATAGTTTTGAAAAAAAAAACATATAACAAATTTATTGTTATCAATTACCTTTCTTAACTTTGATGAATTATGTATGTAAAAGAATTCTTATCTAATTAACAATTTTTTTAAATAAAAGATAATAAATTCATGAAATTAATTACATAAAAAATTTCTCTCTCTTATTAGGATTGAAGATATCTTTCTTTCAAGCATTAATTAATTAAATGAAAATAAATAACGGGAAAGAAAAAATGTTAATTTAAGAGATGGTAATAAGGATAATTTAAAAAAACAATTTAAATTATTAACAAATTTAATACTCTTAATTAAATTAACTAATTTTTTAAAAAAATATTATTACCCTCATTCTTTTTTAATGGTCATTTAAGGTTGTCATGCCTAAACTAAAATATATATATATATATATATATAAAATACTGTTTTTCATACAATAACTAATATTTTTATTATGTCCTTATTTGTTTTTGTTCAATATTTCATAAATACATATTAGTTGTATAAATTAAGGAAATTTAAAAATATAATTTACAAAATAATAATTAATATAGTTTTAAACTTTAAAGATGACAAATAAATAGAAAAAATTTCCTAAAAAACTAACTATTAAAAAAATAATATAATTTAGTTAAAAAGAGTTATAATAATTAACAAACTACGATATTAAAATAAATAGGAAAAATGAATTTTTAGTTTCCATATATTTTTGTCAAACATGATTGGGGTTCTTATATTTCATATCGAAAAATTTGATACCTCAAACTTAAAAAATATTTTCACATTATAGAATGTTTATCTACGCGACCAGCCTGGCACTCCCAAGCCGTTCTCCATCACTACATTGGTGTAGCAGCTGTCACTGCCTTTGTCGCGTTCCACACTCCTCCAACCAATGCCATCGCGCCACGTCACCTCAAGTACAACTCACGCGCCCTTCATTCGCTTCAACTCTCTACACCGGAAGCCTCGTTAACTTCCATAACGATTTTACCAACATTGCCACCTTTACATAAACACACAAAAAAGTGAAAAAACAAAAACAAAAAACCAAACATCACACAAAGGTCCCAACAATCTTAACTCGCTGTCTTCTTCTTCTTCTTCTTCTTCTTTTTCTCATTCAATTTTTTCTTTTAACTTCAATCGGAAGCCACAACAAGATGTCAAATCCCGACGGCGATTCGTCTCCCAAGGTACACGTGGAGCCTCCGCCGGTGGAGGCTTCTGCGCCCCGTGCGGCGGCGAGCGGCGGAATCGGCGGAATCCTGCGGCGGTGGAAGAGGGAGGACTTGATGAAGAGAGGGTCGTTGGCACTCAGAGGGATCGCTTTGCTTTTCTCTCTCATCTCCTTCGTTATCATAGCCAGTAATAAACACGGCGATTGGAGAGAGTTCGATAAATATGAAGAGTACAGGTGCAAATCTCACACCCCCTTTTGGATCAAGATTAATGGGTTTCGCTCAAAATTTGATTTTTCTTTCATGGAAATCGTTATGCAATATAAAATTATTCATTTGTCTAAGTTGTTAGGATATATAGTTGATTACTATCACTAAATACATATGTGAATTTGTTTTTCTTAATCAGTAATCTCAAAGTTTTAGTACATAATATTGTTGTGGAGATCCAACTCGAACACAATTATCTCCTTAAAAAATACATGTGGTGTGTATCAATACCAGTGAATGTTGTAAACTAACAAAAAAAATTTAATTACAAAATCAACAATTTTAATACATATGGTAATGCATCAATTACAGTATACTTTCTTTGGATTTATATATGTTTAAAAAATTACATAAATTAAGGAAACTAATTAAATATATTTAATTTTTACAACTTTATATAATATATATATATATATATATATATATATTAAAATATTTTCAATCACATTTATTGTAAATAATGCTCTCATTTATTGTCTTAGAAATATTTTTAAATTAAGAATATTAAATAAAATTAACTTAATTAGTTGAAACTTGAGATAAAAAATTTTAAACATTTTTTACTTTACACGGAGTCTAATTATATTTATATAATATGAATTCTATCACGTGTCTTATAATTCAAGTGTTTTTAGATAGTGGATTCACGAGAGAATTGTGCTTTGGAGAATGATAGGTATTTGCTGGCTATAGCGATTTTGTCTTGTTTGTACACTGGAGCCCAAGCGTTCCGTCAAATTCAGGAACTTTCTACTGCGAAACAATTCCTTCAGCCAAGAATGGCAGCTATGGTTGACTTTTTTGGTGATCAGGTTTGGCATCATTTCTCTCTTATGCTATTGATTTCAATGATGCTGCTAGCTACTTTTATTATCTCATATATATCTGATTCTAAGGCCAGTGAGGAGTCACGAATCAAAAGTCATTGTTTAAGTTGAACTCAATTCTCAAAGGAATTTCATTTCAAGACTACTTAACTTTGTTTATTTATTAATCTTTTGGATGTTGATAAGATGTTTTGTCATGTATTAAATGCAAATTTTATACCATCAATTTTTATTATCTCATATATATCTGATTCTATGGCTAATGGGGAGTAACGAATCAAAGTCAGTGTATTTAAGTTGAACTCAATTTTCAAAGGAAGTTCATTTTCAGACTTCTTAACTTTGTTTATTTATTAATCTTTTGGCTGTTGATATGATGTTTTTGTCATATATTAAATGCAAATTTTATATCAATAAATTGTTAAACCGAATAGTGTTGGACTCGATTCTTTAAAGATTTTGAATTCAAAACTTATATGTGAAAAAATAATAAGAGGAGAGATCTCACAAAAAGTAATCGGTCAGGTTTTTAACAAATACTTCGTTCATATAATATGGTTAAAAATAATGTGAATTTTATTAATTTGTTGCCCCTTACAGTTATGGAAGACTCGGTTTTAGCCTTTGAGGTTGTACTATCACCAAAGTTGAAGATATTGGATTGGAAAGTTGTAACTTTTCTCTCTGAAGTTACCTCTACGGAAGGATGAAAATGAAAGCTTATCTAGTTTAAATAATTAGTAATAAAAAAATAAGTTTTTTTCTAAGGATGTACAACTTTGAATGACGTTTTTAGTGCTTCAATAATACCATCACAAGGGGGGAGGGGGCGATTTTTATTGGGATTAATTTAGTGTTTTAGACAATTAAGTTAACAAGTCTTACTGATTGCATTGTCTTATAATATTCCGATGACTTATGGGTTGGTAGAGGCTTCACTTTGAATAATTCAAAGCTTTAGACTATATTTATTTATTCAAAGCCTTTATGATTGGCTATGATTTATGAAATATTCGCCTAAGTAATGTTAACTTAGGAACGTTTTTGGTTGCAGATCATGGCATATCTTTTGATATCATCAGCATCTTCAGCAATTCCAATAACAAATAGAATGAGGGAAGGGGCAGACAATATATTTACAGACTCTTCAGCTTCAGCCATTAGCTTGTCTATTTTTGCCTTCTTTTGTCTAGCGGTGTCAGCCCTCATTTCAGGCTACAAACTGTCAACTCAACCTTATATCTGAACTCTGAACTCTGCAAAACCCTCCCTATTATTGTTTCATACTTCTATACAAATCACAATTTTTCTGTATATTAATGATGAGAAAGGGAGTCAGGCCACACCTCTCTGAGTCTGTGCATATGTTACAGTGAGATATGATATTGATTTCATATACAAATACATGTAATGTTTAATCTTTCTTCTTGTACTTGAGACTGGTAATTGACCAATTTGGCCAAAAGAAAAATAATGTGGTGAATGCACTATTTGTGTCTGACTGAGACGCAAGCAATAGCAGTCAGAACTGAATTTCATTTTTTTCTTCTTCTCAATCTGATTACTTAATGTACATCCAAAAAATAAAAAATAAAAGCCTTGACTTTGTTAAAATCCAAAGAGGTTTGTTAAAAAAATTATCAAGCGTGAAAATTTCTAATTTCTTTTCTAATTAAATCAGAAGTCACTTAACATTTCATTATCATCAAAATTTGCATAAGGACTATGTTTTGTTTTCAGGGTTATCAAGGACTATGAATTGAAAATTTATCAAAATCCCTATGATGATGTTGGTACAATTTATATAAGACATGGACCTCCTGATATGCATCACAAATCATATAATAAAAAATAAAAGTAGAAAGAGCACGTAGAAATTGCCAACACAAGCACACATGTTCCAATTAATGAAATATAGTAATATTCTTCCAAGAAAACCTTTTTCCATACAAATACAATAAAAGAATAACAGAATTCATCGGTCAATCCTATGATAAAGTTGAAAGTTTCTATTGGGAGATGAACTTGGCAGACAGGCATAGCAGCAATTTGCTGTCACTTTGGCTGTAGTGTCAATCCCTAATCTAAATGAGGTAAATAAGTAAACATTCGTGATTCATTGTCTATATTCTGCTGTGAATAACTAAAATCCTACATGCTGTACAAAACCATATCCTAGAAAATATGTAATATGTGAAGTTGTGGTCCGGTCCCAGATTTAGAAGTCCTTTGACAGAAAAGACTGAAGGAATGAGTCATCCTTCCTCTCATCCTTAGCCCTTGAGTATGCAGCATCTGAGTTTTGCGCGTGATTGGTAAATGAACCCACTGATTTGTTAAGAGCCGAATAGCCAAAACTTCCAGGGTTCTTGAACTTGTCCAGTGAAAATGATTCTTGATTTCCGGTTGCTGGAAGCCTAGTATTATTACAGAGAGAATTTGTGAAACTTGATGAGCTAGAATAACAGTTCACTGCCGAGGGTCTTATAGGCGCCGGTATGTTGCTGTTCACAGAATTTCTGTTCATGTTATAGCTTGCGCTACCACGTGCAGCAGGTACATCATGGTTGTGTTTCCCTTCATAGGTTGTGATCACAGATTTGATGTCATGTGCAGCTCGCTCAACATGTTTTCTCACTGAACAACCAGGGGCTGTGCATTTGTAGTAGCTCCTGCAGATGGAATGTTTTTGAACAGTTAAGTTGTGGTGTTGATAACAACATGAATTGCAACATTTAGAACCATTAACTGAAGGGTCTTTGTTCTCATCAGTTAACTACCTTGCATTGGGGTTTCCTTTGACTACTTTCTGTCCATATTTCCTCCACCTAAAACCATCATCAAGTATATCAATTTCGCTTGTGGTTTGAACTACCACTCTAGGCTCTCTCACAGTTCTACTCCCAGAGACGGAATAGCCATCATTTTCATTATCTCCCTTCCTGCAACAATAACAAGCAGAATTAGTTATATATACAAACCAGGTGAACTGTGCGATTTTTTCCTTCTAAAATAGTGAATCGAGTTATTAGATTGTAGTTAGTCGATCTTACCATCTTTTGGCATCTGGTCCAAGACTATCTTCATCTCCTCCAGAGTAACTGGTTTGTGATGTTTGCTCAAACTCTTCCTCTCCAACAGAAGCCGAAGAATCTTCCTGTATGGAGAAATGATCCATTTGTGGATTGCCTAGGGTCACCACTGATTGATCAGAAATCCCCGAGTTGGTGCAAGATGAAGAAGGTTGGTGAATTGATTGAGAGTTTGTTCTTCTAGACTGTGGTTTTGGGTGGTTATGATGACCCTTATATACTATTTCAGTAATTTGTCCATCCAAAGACCTCTCTACTTTCTTCTTCATTGAGCAATTTGGATGTGTACACTTGTAATAACTACGAGGATTTTCACTCCCTTTCACTTGTTTCTGTCCATATTTTCTCCAGTTGAACCCATCATCTGATCTCTTTTGTTCTCTAACAGTTTGAGATGCGTTAATGTAGTCAAAATTACCAGACCTCGGAACTGAATTACTTTGCATTTCTGATTTTCCTGCTTCCATTCCTAAGGAAAAACTTTGACTTAAAGGGTATTCAGATTTTGTTGCTGTCATCTCAGATGAAAATTCAGTTTGCTTTGTAGCTTCATTGAATTTCCACATGTCTTGTTTCTTAAGTGGTTCCTGCTGTTCAAGTAGAACAAGTATTAGAATACAAATCCAAATGCATGACAAGAATAGCATGTTGCAAGCCATCAATAAATTAAACCTTCATTATTGTGACTATGCAGCTTGATTATATCATTACAACGGAATTTATTATTTGTCACAACAGAAACATACATTGACATACTTTTAGGTTAGACTTTTTCAACTTAAAATATGCTGGGCAAGTTATGAATCTTGCTTTAACCATTCAAACCGTGTTAACACCAACAAAAATAAAATAGAAAAAAGAAGATGAGCAAAGAAGAAGAAGACAATTCAAAGGGCCATTAAAAAATAAACTGACCCCACAAGCCATACAAGACAGAAGCTAATAATAGAAACAAGTCCAAATATGTCACAACAACGAAGAGAATAAGAACCGGCCTCCAAGTGTCTTTGATGATCAAATAATAACCAAAAAGACACACACAAAACAATACTTGTTTAAGTCAAATAATGGTGACAAAAAACAACAATACCTACCCCTTGAAACATGCTTGAGGAAGATTGAATTTGGGGTTGGAAAGAGAAGTCAGAGTAGTTTTTCTCATCCCCCTTGTCACGTTGTTGTTCTTCTCCTGAACCGTTCCTCCAGTTGAAGCTCTGGCCAACCAAAGCCTCAGTAGTAGGAGATGCAAAAATCTAGAACCACATACACAACAACAAAGAAAGCCACATAATTAGTGATGATGCCCCAAAACATGAAACCACGCTTGTCAATTTGCATGAGAGAGTTTGTGACTTACATTTGGAGAAGGAAGAAACATGGGTGAGTTGAAGAACTCAGAAGGGCTGAAAGCAGTTGAAAAAGGCAAGTAAGAAGAAGGGGAGATTGGAGAGGGAGAAATGGGTAGTGAGGGAGGTTGAACAGACTTGAACTTGGGAACGTCAAGTCCAACTTGATCATGATTAATATCAGAAGTTCCCCAGTTGTTATGATCATTCATGGTCATGTTACTACTATTATTGTTGGAAAGAAGATGAGTGAAAGATGTCCTCATGAATTGAGGTGGCAATGAAGAAAAGTTTGCTTGGAATTTATATTGGAAAAGTGGTCTAAGGATTGATATGATATAAGGAGAGGAGACAAGACTGGATAGTAATATAGAGGGGAGAGAGAAAGAGGGAATTGATGCATGATTTAATGGTAAAGCTTGCAATCACCAGCAAAAAGTCTTGGAAGCTGCTTCTAGGAAGCTCAAGATATGTTTGACCGTGGAAAACTGAATTGGGTCAAGACTTGTGGGTTTGACTGGGCTGCATCATAGCCTACCAGCTACCACCCTTATTACATTACAAGACAAATTATCATATGGTTTCGTATCATGATTTTGGTTAATTTATATTCATTATATTATTATTGTGAAGTATTTAATCATTTTATTGATAATTAATCTTTGTAAAAAAAAATTAATAAGGTCTTTTGAGTTCTTCTCAATAAGTATTTTCTATCCACAAAATTCAAATATGATAACTTGATTGAAGAGATTGAATTAAGTTTCATTCATAACAACTGACTTTATTAATAATTATGATCAATTTCTATGTGGTCCTTAGATTTCATACAATTTATTAAGTGAAAAATATACATTTTAGAGAATAAAATAAAATACACATTAATTAAAAAATAATGATTAAAAATTGTGATGAAACTAAATATACATATAGCAAAATTTGAAGTAAATTACATATTCAAATTTTTTTAATTAATAATTATTATTAAGCTTTATCTTCTAAAAATGTTCTATTTTAATTAAATAAAATTAGAATTCGAGTATCGCGCAAAATTTAATTAAGCATATATAGGAATGGAAAAAATTTAAGTATAATATTGTAGATTTTATTAGCATGTGTTTATCAAAATTGGAATTTAATAAGCATTATAAGCATATTATTAAAATAAACTTTAATTGAAATTAAAAAAATAATACCAACAACAATTATGTGAGATATATAAGTTTTTGGTAAGGTTATTCCGGCCTACATCATAAATTTTCACATTATAGAGGGAGAGAAGGGCGGCTTGCAAACATAGGATGTGTTATTGGATTCTGTTGCTGTCTGATGATGTGGTACCAATGTCAGAAACCCAATGTTATAACTAAACTTTGAATATCTATCATCAATTATTTATTGGACCGTTTTGTGAGAGGAGTTATCGGTTGCTTTTCATTTCTGAATATTGGTTAAATAACTTTAGACGTTTCTTCTATATTTGTTTGAGTGAAGCTTTCGTAACGGAGCATAAACTTTTCAATATGCCATCTCATCGAATCCGATTAGATATATATAGCTATGTTTATTATTAGAGTTTGTAAAAGGGTTATCCACTTTTTCATGAGTTGGTTGAATTTGAACCACGAGTTATAATGCGTGGGACAAAAAAAATTTGAATTAAATTTGGTCTTTAAATTGATACTCAAATTTGATTGTATGTGTAAATCATGAGTTTTTTTTTAGTTGATCTATTTTTTTAATTAATTTTTATTTGTTAGATTTGATTTTTGCAATTATAATAATAATAATTTTTATTAATATGTTTTTATTATGAAAACTGATTATATATTATATAGTAAACTCATTTATTATTTCATAAAAGTTATTCTTTCTGACAATGATATTTTTAATCTGAATCATATCATCAATATAAGTAATTATATTAGTTAATTTTTAGTAATTTTATAGAATAAATTATGATTAACTTAATTTTACTCTTTTTATTTATGATTAAATTTTGAATGTATTATTCTATATTAAAATTTATACACCAATACCAACAAAAATGATAGATATGAATTGGAAAAGATTTAAAAAGTGAAAGAAAAAAAAACACATATTTTCAAAATCTTAATAAGGATAAAAAAAATAATTTAATATTTTTTAGAAACTATAAAATACTTTATAAAAAAAACCAATAATTTATTATAGATTATGTCTTATAATAAAGATCAGAAAAGTATAATGAAAAAGATATATCTATATACTTAACAATTTACTCTTACAAGTTTTTTAAATTCTAACTAGATAAGTTTCAATAATCTTATATTATTTTAAATATAATTAGCTTAAAAAAATACAATTTAAGACATCCATATAATTCTATAATTAGTCAATGTCATAATCAAATATTAAAATATATATAAAAGAAACCAAAATTTCAAGTCTTATGACATCATTATAATAATAAGTCATTTATGTCAAATCAAAGTCAAACTAAATGCTTCAAATAAAAACAAATTTTAAAAAATTAATAAACACCAATCTACCAATACACCTATAAAATAGAAAAATAAAAACATTACAATATTATATTTCCTTCTAGATAATTTATAACTAACAATTTAATTCAAATAAAAGAATAGTTTTGTTACCGTTTATTTCAAATCATCATTCCATTTCCTGGACAATAGTATTTAAGCTTTTGTTTTTAAGTTGTTCAACTTTTAAATTGATGGTTTGTCATTCATCTTCATTATCTTCACTATCATAATCTAATTAAAATATTTAAATAATATATAATAAAAATTCTATACAAAGTAACTATATATTAATTTCAACTTCTTAAAATATGATTAAACTTAAAAATAATTACCTATAAAATCATGTAATCAACTACATGTATACACGTTAAATGACATAGGTGTATTTTATTTTTCTCCACCAAATAAATATGAAATTTATGTTTGTTATGATTGATCAATGTTTGAATGGGCATCATTTTTAAATTATTTCTCCTTCTTAAACTTTTGGTCTTCTTTTTTGTTTTTTACTTTGCAATAATGAGTAAAATATAAAATATCAGAATTAAAAGAATTTGTTTGCTTAAGACACGAGTTTTATTGAACCAAATTAAAAAATATTTATATTTAATTTGGATTTAAAATTTAAAGTTTACACTCTATAATTTATTTTTCGGTTTAAAACTAGCTTTGTTGATTTTGTTGACTCTATTTATTTAATATAAGAAAGCCGAATGAATGAGTTTTAGATAAATTGAATATCAAATTTTAGTGACTAATTAATTTCTTATGAACATGTGGTAGAAATTTGTAATAATTGCAAGATTATATTTTATTTTTATTTTCAGGAAATACACGGTTTTCTATGGAGTAAAAAAAGTGTATGTGTGCATAGTCATATAGATACTATCACAGTAATTAATAATCAAATTGTTGGTAAGTTTTTTTTTTTTTTAATCGCCAAGTATTGTTAGTAGTTTAATGTTTTAAGAAAAAAAAAAAACAAACAAAAACTGTAGTTTAAGTTCTTTCATGCTAATTTAATTTTAAATAATAAAACGCATTGCCAAATTAATATCAGATCGGTTCTATGGTGTAGTGGTTAGCACTCTGGACTTTGAATCCAGCGACCTGGGTTCGACTCCCGGTAGGACCTGGATCTTCACTTATTTTTTAAATATTTATGAAAATATCTTGCCAATGTTAGAAATAAGCATCATTTATATTTATATAAAATAAGGGGTGTAAGAACAAATTTACTATAGTGTCACTATGAACTATAAGAACACTAATGAAATTGCTACAGCTAAGGCACATAGCAACTTCGTGTTGCTATAGGTCATAGCGCCTCTATAGTGCATTAAAAAAAATATAAAATTAATGTTAAAAATATATATAATATAAAAGAAAATTAAATGAAGAAAAAAATGTATAAAAAGGGGAAAAAAGGAGTAAAAAATATAAATTTTTAAAAAAATGATAAATGAAATGTTAAAAAACAAAAAATAAAAAAGGAGGTCCATAACACATCTGTAGTGCAATAAGTAAACCTATAGAATTAATGTTAAAATATAAATTATAAAAAAAAATGAAGGAAAAAATGTATAAAAAGCGAAGAAAAAAAAGGAGTAAAAAACATAATTTTTAAAAAATAATAAATTAAATGTTAAAAAATAAAAAAATAAAATAAAAAGGAAATCGTTATGAGCCATAACGACTTTGCATTTTCCCAACAGTTGCGCACCACTTGTCAAAATTACCACACCAGCAGCTACATTTTCCCCTTTTTTCTTACACAATTATTTTTTATAATACATTTTTTCCTCTGCGTATAAAATAAAAATATTTAAAATAATTTATAAAATAAATGTGGAAAAAGTTAAAAAAAATAACAAAATTAAAAAGGGAGGTCGCTATGGTCCATAGCGCCTTCGTGTTGCTATGGGCCATAGCACCCTCGTGTTGTTATGGGCCATAGCGACATCTATTTTTTTTTTCTTTTTTCATATTTAATTTATCAATTTTGTTAACATTTTTATTATTTTTATTTTATGCTTCTTTTTTTTGCATTTTGTTTATATTTTTTCCTTCAATTAATTTAAATACTTCTGGAAAAGGAAAAAAAAGAAAAAATATAAAAGATAAAATTAACTGAACAAACAAAATGTAAAAAAAATGCAAAAAAAAAACTATAAAATAAAAAATAATAATTTATAAAATAAATGTGGAAAAAGTAAAGAAAAAAAAAAAAGAGGTTGTTGTGGCCCATAGCGACACAAGGTCGGTATGGGCCTTAGCACCTCCGGTAGTCCATAAAAAATATATTAAATTTATTTTATAAAATCTTGTTCTGTTGTACAAAAATTATTCAAATATTTTTAAACATCAAGATTTAAAACAAATATATTTTAAATTATATTTTTTCTCTATTAAAAATATTTTTTTTATAAAATTGAGCTATTTTAAATGGTTGAGGAGCCCATAACGACACTACAGAAGTCGCTACAGCCGGTAAACTACACTGTAGTAAACAACCCCAAAGGCGTAAATAGTTTCAAAAGAGCCTCATTTACGTAATTTATTTCATTTTTAACTATAAAATAAAATATAAAATAATTGTTCAAGATATTCACCTTAAACTGTTCGTTGGAAAAATAAAGTGGGATATTCATCGATTTAAGTGATATTTACGATTCTAAGCAATCGATGATGAACAACATAAAACATACTTGTTATTCATTATGTCTATAATATTAGTACTTTTGTTTATCAAACTCAAGATGAAGATATAATATTTGATGATTACAAATGTATTATGAGTTTATTCTTTTGATGGATAAGAGTGAAAGTTGTAATTTTTTGTATGTTTT